TTCAACATAAGAATAATAATAAAAACATTGATTGCATTTAGTAATTTTTACTATTTAGTGCCCATTGGTCTAGAAGTAGATTATCTTATATCAAATCTAGATTAAGATATTTATGAATAGATTTATTTACGAGAATGATTAAAAAGTATATTAATTATAAAATATTATTTAAACGACTTGATGATTTTTTAACTTCAAATAAAATAGAAAATTCATTGATTATCTATAAACATTAATTAACATTTCAAATATAATACATATAGTGCCTATTCATAGAAATTAAAAATCAATTCTAAAACCTATCAACTGGGCTTGAAAATTATGAAAATGTATTTTTTATGATTATATTTTTTGACACAAAAAGTAATAACAATGATTAAAATATAAATACTAATATTAGCTTTATTAATAACAAACAGTTTAACACAAATGTGTATTTAAATAGTGTCTAAATCGCTTATATTAAATATTATATCTGCTCAAATAAAAATACATTTCTTTTTTTAAAGACTTAGTTTAATCTCTATTTTATTTGAAATTCTAACTAAATCGTGGCCCTCCATGATGATGGATAAAAAAATCATCAACACCATCACCACCGTTGGATATGTCAAACACCGAAGTTTGACCGACAAAGTGTTGATGTTGTGCTCTTTGCATTTCCTTTTGCCTCCTAATCTCCAAAACTTTCCTATGTGAATTCGAATGCTTCGTCGACACGAACGTCGGACTCGCAGCGGGCCGGTATTCGGGTACCAACCGACCCGATTTGTACCTCACCCCACACGCGTTACATAGCGTTTTTGGACCCATCGGGCCGGTCCTCCATTGCGGGGTCTTATCCGAAGCACAATGTGAACATTTCCGACCCCATAATGACTCCGAACTTGGTTTTTGCACTCTCTCTTTTCTTTGACCCGTGGTTTTTGGCTTGAGTTGAAGGACTCGAGTGGACCAATCGCACGGTGCGACCTGCGGACGTTTCGACCGGGCCTTCCCTGGAAGCGGAGCCCCATGTCGGAAACCGGATCAATGGAGCTTCGAGATAAGGAATCGGATCGGGTTGAAGAAGAGCAGGATTCAGGTGTGGGTAATTTTGCGAGAATGGGTCCGTCGAGAACGAATCATCAACGAACTTTGAGAGCCATTCATGTTCAGCCAAATCATCATACTGTATAAAAACAAATTTATTAATCTTTTGCACAATTAAATCATATACATATGAATCTAATTATAAGAAAAATGTAGATAGCTATTTTACTTATAATTTAACGAAATAAACAATTTATTATTAAATGAAAACCATTCCAACCTTTAATATCAGACTCCAAAATTTACTTATTATTAAGTTATTTACTGAGCTTATATTGATCTTTATACTAGTAAGATTGTATGAATACGTTGATGGTAGCCTTTGAGGATTAATGGAATCAATATTGGACTAAATTTAAATTTTAAAAGGTAAAAGGATTTAATTTTCACATTTTAAGTAATAGAGACTAAATCTTAAATATTACAAAACTATAGGGATTGACATCAAATTTTTTCCAATTTTACGGAAATTATTTAGATTAAAATAACGTTAACTTCACGTAAATGGTAAATTTATAGTTTTAGCTTACCATGTAAAATTAGAGAAATAAATTACATTATTACCGGGACGCAGAGTTCGCTGGAGAAATGAGAGGAGCGAGTGAAATTAGCTTCAGAGAAGTGGTTTTCGCCGCCGAATACGGTGGAGGAATCAGTGGAATTACCGGCGACATTGTTGAAGAAACCGTCGCGGTAACGGCTTCTTCTTTAGAAAGTCGAGGAGATCTTCGACGGTGAATTCTCCCCCAGCTTTGCTCCACCGTGATCCTATTTTCCGGTGAGAAATCTCCGGTTGATGAACCGCCGTAATAACCTCCGACGAAGAAGTCCCCTGCCTCCATCTGAGCCTTTACAATGTTCCACTTCCTAATCACAATATATATAAATATATATAAATTAAATTGGTAATGGTATTTTAGAGAGAGAAAACTTTGAGAGTCTGAGAGAGACACTGAAGAGTGAAGGGAGAAGGCTGGGGTTTTGAGGAGTGAAGGTGAATGGCATAAATGTAATATGTGGAAATTGGAGCATCTTTCTTACATGCAAAACATATTGTATTACACCAATTTAATAATATAAGAGGAGCACCATATATATATATATATATATATATACCAAAATATATGCGTTCATTTGTTGCATATATTGTCTTTCAATTTTGGATTGTATAACTATATATCAATTATTTTGGGGTTTTATAATATTTTTTATTGATGATATGGTTGGGAGTCGTTTAATTTTTTGTTATGTGTGTTTCTTCTTCTAAATTTATTATAATTTAAGCCTCATCTTTGTCTAAATTGATTTGAGTAATTTTTCGATTATCATCATAATAATCGATTTATATTGTAATTTCTATCAACTTTGATTGCACTTATTTAAAATATTTAATCTCCAAGTAATTCTAAAAAATTATAGAATTTTATCCAATGAACAGTATATACTTCTATTACTTTGTCCTTTCCAAATACTTTAAATTCGAATAATTTTATATGTAAATTAATTAAAGTTAGACACATATACTGAAACAAGATTTTGTTAATCAAGTGTTCTAAAATTAATTAATTTAGTTAATATATTATTTATTAAAATATTATTTATATATATATATATATATAATGGAGAGATTAATAATACCATATTAATATAATAATTATGATATTTATTATCATTTTTAATAGGATAGGTGAAGATATTTATATTTTTTCAAGGTTTTCAATTTTAAGTTGTTCATTTAATATAATGTACCCACACATTCATTCACTATAACCGGAATGCATATTGGGAAATTTTAATGATTCAAAAATTAAATTATTTTTCTAAAAAAATTGCAACATGGAGACTTAAGTAATGTTCTAGTTAGTTTTACAATATTATAAAAAATATGTATTTTGATATCAATTAAATTACAAATTTATTTACATTAAATGATCCATTTTCAACGTATAAATATTACATATAACGTAACTATTTAATAAAATTGTAAGTCAACAAATATTTCACATCTAGTAAATATAAAAAACAATATTAAAAATTCTATTAATATATATTTTTAGTTGTTTGAGGTGATGCAAGATAATATTTTGAATTTTTTTAATTATTAACAATATATACGTATTTTATAAACGTAATTAATAATATTTTATAACATAATTATTTGAATTTAAATCTAAAAAATAATATTATTTTTACTAATAATTTAATTTAATAATATATTTAAAATTAGATCTATAATATCGAAAATGAACGTGAGACAAAGCAACAAGGTTAAGGTGTAGCTAACCATAATGGAGGCAGCTGTCACGTAAAAGGGTAACAGTTATGTCGGCCAACACATCAATTGCCTCCATGGAGCCTTTAATTGCCCTTACTTAAAACCCACCCTTTTAATTTTAGTTATTGAGCTTATGGTCCTATGGATGAAACTTATAAATTTTATCCTAATTATTGCAATATTTTCCATTTAAATTTATCAATTTTTTCAAATTTAAGTTATTTAAGAAAATAAGCATTAGATCTATCCAAAGTACAATTAGATGAGATTTTTTATTCAAATCAAATCAATTATTTAATTACTTAAATAATATTAATCAATTCATCTTTTGCTAATATTTTATTGATAAATTAATAGGATAATTAATGAAATTAGTATGATTACACAATCGATTTTATTATTTATATTTTTAATTTAATTTAGTTTAATATAATTATAAATGTAATCCTTCAATTATATTATTTAAATTTGATTACTATTTATCCAATCATTTAGATGAATAATATTTGGGTAAAAGATCGAATAAAAAATCTGATTTTGTTATTTTCTTTTAACGTTCAAAAAGAAATATCTTTTGATTAATATAATTAATATCTTTTAAAAGGGTGAGTGGGACCCACTTAGCATGTGTCAAGGAGTTGGAGCTGTCATCATGTGACTTTCTTTTTCTAAAGTTTAAATAAACGTGAGGGTAACTGCTAAAATTTAAAATCTTTAAGAAGAATAACATTTCATTTTATTTCTTACGTCACTCAATGGATTCTCTACCTTTAAATTTTGGATAAATTACAATGAGCTATGTAAAAATATTTTTTATTAATAACTTTGAAATATTATAAAATTATCAATAAAATATTATAAAATAATTATTAAATTCATCAAATTATTATAAAATAATTATTAAATTTATCAAATTTATTATGATTTATAAGATTGTAGGGAACATTATATAACAATTCAATAAGTTTAATAATTATTTTATAATATTTAAAAATTCGATGACCAAAAAAATATTTTAACATAATGACTTCATGTGTTTTACCATTAATATTTCTAGAGACGTCCCTTTGTTTTTGAAAATATTAAATCCAATACTTTGATATAATTAAAGCACTTGTAGACATTTATGTTATTTCAAAACCCCTAATCATCAACAAAAGGTCTGATCTTTATTGATAAAGATACTCGAATAAATATTACTTTATACTCACCCTTATATTAATTAAAAAAAATCGATTACAAGTAAATTTACATATATACGTTTTAAAACTTGACAATTTCATATGTTTTTTCTAACATTTAAGTGTTACGGCCGGTAAATTCATATATTTTTTTAAAATTAAATTTCAAATTAGTGGGAGCTACATGATTTTCACCATAGGCATGTGTCTTTCAAGCTATAAAAGTACCGTCATGGGTTGAGTTTGAACAAATGTGTCTGTAGGTTGTGTGAGTTATGATTAAGAAAGATTTTGTAGAGGTACTACTTTATAATCAACCAGAATATTAAAAAAACAAACATGCTTGAAAATAAACAAACATGAACAAAAGTCTATTTGGTTAAGCTTGATTCACTTACAGCTCTACACTTTCAAAATAATTACCACTGAACAGTAATGTTAAAAGTTCTTTAAAACTATGCCTAATCATCACAAATAATATATAGCAACATTTACTGTACTTCGCTAGCCATGGAAGAAATTAGAAATGTAGCCTACTTTATGCAATTGATGCCCTGTTTTTTCATAAATAAGAAAACAATAGTGATGAACTTCAAATAGTAAAAGTGAAAAGTTGAGCAGAGTGAAAGAAAATACAACCCTAGCACACTGACCATGCTTGCCTGCATCGGACGGCTTCTCGACGAACGGCTCTCTTGGGATCATCGAGAGCCTTTATTACAGCTCTTAGTACCTGATAAACAACAAAGTTACGAATTTAAATGCAAATACAAAGGATGAATGGTCTGATTCTTGTCTGTGTTCTCATCGAATAAATCCTTGAATGGGATAGTCTAGAAACAGCAATAAGACACTGCAGATCTGTCTCAAGAACAAGCTTAAGACGCTGAGAAGAAAAAAAATTTTCAAAACCAACAGTATACATCGTATTATATGCATTAAATGGAAATAGAATTGGAAAAGAAAATTTCAAGGTAGATGAAAGAAAATTATATACAATGGCATTGCAAATATCGATAGTCCACCTATTTCTTCTCATTCTGAATATCATTCCATAGAATACAATGCGTACTAAGGAGCACAAGATAGATAAACATATATCTGTTTTCTTTGAAAAGATCTTTTATTACCATCTTATGAGGGTATTGAATAAGATCGATGAGGCAATTGACGATCGTATGTCCACTATCTGAAGCAGCTTCTTGGTCTGCATGCATACACAATATTTGTAAAACATTACTACGAAACTCGAGTAGATACTTGCTTTAAATGTAAAATCGTAATCTAATAGTTTTGATGGGTTTGCAGTTATAGGCTACCAAGCCTTTGTGAAACACCTAAGAACAGAAGATATATTTCTTTCAAGCATTTCAAACGTTCTCCAAAATACATCTAGGGAAGTAACAGTATAGATTATATATGTTGCCGCATCGGGTTTTTGACAGGACACGGAAAAGTAATATATAGAAATCACATTGCAGGTTGAGAAATCAATCGAAATATTTAAATATTTAAAGAAGATTGAAATGGATGCAGATGTGGTTATGATGTGACAAAGCAGCTAAGTAATGAAATTTAAGCTGTATCACAGACTGGATCTGTCGTAAAAATGTTGAGAAAGAATGATAGGCAATTACAATCGGATTCAACTTCATAATTTATAATTTAGTAGGCATAAATCATTCAAGCATGTACTAACCTGGGCAAATTGAAAATGGATACCATATATATACACAGACAAAACATACAAAAACATTAATGAAGAAAGATCATCTTTCCCTTGAGAGTGGTTCCAATTTCATAACTAGTGATTGCAAAAGGGGCATTATTGTTGAGAAAAATCGTTGCTTATAGAGAGGACGTATTACTGCATAGAATTCCCTACTCAGACACTGTTCAGATTCACCCATAAGGATCTGAAATGCATCTGCTGCACTATTCATCACAGAATAATGCAAATCAAGCTCATAATTGTTTTCTGAGACATCCTTTTCTTGATTAGAGATATCAGCTCTTCCACTTGACTGTAAGCACCGTAAAAAGATCATAGCCATGTACTTAACTTTTTCATGGCCCCGCATAAGTAAACCTTTTCCAATCCATGCAAGTCCCACAATAGCATGGATTTGAAGGGAGGTACAACTTCCAACACCGTTACATAAATTATTTAAACCTGTTTCATGGACATCGATGATTTTGGCTTGAATATTAGAGGAGCTATTCTTTTGGAAAATCCATAAACTTGACTTAAGAATTATATATATTGCTTCCTCCAAGGTACAATCGCTTGAAGTTTGTCCTCCAGTGGACTTTAGATCCAATTTGTTAACCATAGTGCCCAACACTTGGGCTGCTACAACATTACCGTTGAGAAGGGTTGTCATGAACAAAGAAACTACCACTCTCGCATTTGGAATGCAGGTTTGAGGATACACTGCTATAATCACTGCAGCAAAAAGTGAAAGAACCCATTCATCTCTACCGGAACTATTATGTCCTTCAGTAATTTGAAACCTTTCTTGCTGGAACAGCTCCTCGATGGAGAAGAAATGGTTGATAAAAGTATATTGTAGCTCTTTTCAACAATTATGTTTTGCTTTTCCTCTGAATAACTTGCAACAGCAAGTTTCATTGCTTCAAGAACTCCCTTAAATAAAAAGTTAAAAATAAAATATTAGCGCCTCATAATAATCCCCAAGGACTGATGCAAAGTTCATACACACTTGAAAAAGCTTACTCTTTCGTTGGTTTGATTAACATTGAAGACCATACTACTCCCAATTTGGTTCCAAATGTTAATAGCAAATTGCAATAGAGCTTCTTCAAAACCCTTTGCACATCGTATCCTGCATCCATGCCAATAATTATTTTGTACCCAAAAGAAGGGAGGGAGGGATGAGGAACAAGGAACCATTTTCCAACCTCCAACCCAAAAATAAATAAATAAATAAGTAAGAGCAAGAAATTAAGGTAGAGTTATATACCATGGAATCACCTTATCAGAATAGCATCTCAAAAGGTGAGTTACAATTTCTGCTGAATTCGTTGGACCTAAGCAAACAGAAGGCAACACTAAATTATAGAAGGGAAAAAATTCCCATTGAAAAACAATCAGGGAAGTCTTATTAATATGTTTCAGTAGAGTTGAGTCATGTTAAGCACACTGAAAAGTCGTGAACTATTTAACTATTACCAGAAAACCATCTATAAAAAAATTCTCATACATACGTAACCTCATTTAGATTGGCATATATAGCTTTTTCCAACCCTTGAACAACTTTCAGCATATAACACCGTTCACTTGTGCCAATGTCTGAGAGTGCTTCCAGTGAAATGGAATACTAATATCACCCGCAGAAGCCAAGGAAACAATTTTTTCAACAACTATGCCCAATAGCTTGGTTCCTTTTATGAGTCATGGTATCTTCCAATAAATGAGCCAATCTGCATTAGGGCTTTCGGTACCAATCTACACAATAATATCTTGCCATGATCCACATTGACAAGTGATACAAATGTCACTAAAATCTTCTCAAACACAGTTTTTGATATCAGCAAATAGCCTCCAGGGAAGGTTGCCAAAACTAGCAATCCCTTTACTGCGTGTAAACCGAAACAAAAACAAGACAAAACAAATCAATGGTTTTGATATTGGTTTTACACAGACAACCGTTGCAAAACAAAACAAAATGGAAAGGGAGCTGAAAGGTGGACTTGAACCAGAAAATTTCAACCAGGCATTGCAAAACATTATAGATAGTACAAATTAAATCATACGATAAAAAACATAAAATTCTTCTAGTCTCTAAATACATGTGTGAGAAAGAGTCAGAGTAACTGAAGTGGACAGAACCAAGTTCAGTAAAATCAAGCTTTAGATACATGATTATTCATTTATACTTCTATCACAATACCATAGTCAGTGGCTTTTACTAAAACCATGGGCAAAAATATTGACGGGATCAAGAAAATGCAATATGAACAATTACAACAGAGGCACCTATAAAATAGGTATGCAAGCCTGTCGTGAAGACTGAAGATAAGCACAGATACCATATCTACATCATTGTAAGACAAAAGAATTCACCTCCAAAGTACATATCAGCATCATGAGTATATTTGCCACTGGAAAGGAAGGCAGAACAGAAGGTCATAGAAAGTGGTGGAGAAAAGCATTGAAGCAAATGCTTCTTTATTTCTTCTGTATGAGAAGCAGCTAGGATTGTTTCAGAACTACCAATCAAATCTCTGCATGCAGAAAGGTGCTCAATGCTAAGATAGAGAGCTCCATGATTACATCTTTTGGAAACCAAAGTACTTTCATCTGAATCTGATTGTCCAGATGAGATTCTAGCAGAAAGTCCCAGAATATCCATCAATCGGCTGAAGAAACATTCAAAAACTCTATTGCATGACACTTGTAAAGCCTTGGCAGTAGTAGAGAGGATACGACCTACTGCATGTAGTCTCCCGCTTGATTTCTGAAGGAATTTCGTAGTAATTCTTATAACTAGATACCATATTGAAAATCATGTTTATGTCTTCATCACCAACAATTAAATCCAAAGACAATTTGGTATTTTGCACAATAAGCTTCTGTAAAAGACTTGGAGCCTCTGCGGCAATTTCATTTTCAGGAAGATCTAGACCTTCAAGAGATTCTGGAGTAAAAGATAAATCACTCTCAAGTGTAGTAAATATTACTTCTTTTAATGAAGACCAAATAGCTTTAACATGTTTTGCCATTCTGTCTACTTCATACTTCACCGTGCAATCACTGAGATACCTCAAAGAATCAAGCTGCAAACAAGCATACTTAAAGTTCAACAGATTAGACATTTTAAGAGACACTCCTATAGCCAGAAACGAAAGATTATGATCAGCGAAAAATTTTCAAACAGAAAAATAATTCATCTGCACTGACCTTTGCTGACATTTTGGAATCAGCAAAAGTGAACAGAAGCAGAAAAGGCAAAGATAAAGTACAGTGGTATACAATGCATATAAGGTAAAGCAAAGTGAATATAGCAATGCATCTTTCCTCATAATCATAGGTCCATGTCCGGAAATCAACTAGTATCAATAACTGCAAGACAACTTCAGAATTTTGGTAGTGTTTTATTTTCTACTGCAAGTCAAAAGTGCAAAACAACATTCTTAACAATGGATAACCCTATTTTGGACAAGAAACTAAATGCATAACCTTTAAAGAGAGAATTTTCAACAGAAGAATTGCATACCATCAATGCTCTTGCAAGATCATCCCTTTTAATTTTCACATCTTCGCCTTTTGTCTGGAGAACACAAGACAGAGAACCAAACATCATAAATCAAAGCCTCTTAACAGTACATATTCTAATTGATTTCATCTTTTGTATATTATATTGTATTTCTTTTATCAAAAATCACTGAGGAATGGATTGTTATATATATATATATATACACATATTGTATATGATCATAAAAAACTATTTAAATTGAAATCAAATAATATCATAATATTATAAATATATATAATTAAATTTAAACATAAACTCGAAAATTTGATTCGATTTGACTCGACTTAAAAAAATCAAGTCAACTCCGAGTTGTGAAATAGGACTCGTCAACTCGAATAAATCAAAATTTTTGGACTCTGACTCAATCGAAGGCTCACCTCTAGTTTTAGTCACTATCTTTGCCACCTCAGCAATTAAATTAAGAACATTTTAATAATTTTTTAACGTGTAAGATATTT